TCAGCCTAAAAAAAATATGAGAGAACTGAAGTGAGAAATCAACTCATAACCTTTTACTATGAATTATATGCTCCTGTGAAAAGGACTGAACTTTCTTAATTCTTCATTTTTAACAGAAAGCATGACAAAAGTTCCTATCAGTATTTAAACTGATAAGATTTGTCAAATGCAAATGGGAAAATAGCGTTTAAATAGCAGTCTCATTTTGTCTGTAATGACTATGGGAAGGTATCTTTGCAAAGAACACCTTAGTAATAATAGATCACCTCTGCAGTGAGTGACAGGAGTTCTTTGCTGTGTCCAATGATTTCAGACACCTTATTGTGGCCTTCCAGTACCTTAAGGGGGCCTACAAGAAAGCTGGGGAGGGACTTTTTAGGATATCGGGTAGTGATAGGACTAGGGGGAATGGAGCAAAGAAGTAGGGAGATACAGATTAGACATTAGGATGAAGTTCTTCACCATGTGGGTGGTGAGACACTGGAAAAGGTTGTCCAGGGAGGTGGTGGAAGCCCCATACCTGGAAGTTTTTAAGGCCAGGCTGGATGGAGCTCTGAGCAACCTGATTTAGTGGGAGATGTCCCTGCCTATGGCATGCGGGTTGGAACTAGATGATCTTCCAGGTCCCTTCCAACCCTGACAATTCTATGATTCTCCTTGGTGACCCCTGCACTAGCAAAGCCAGCTGCCCTGCCCGGTGACCCGTGGTGGGACCATGCTCTTCATCGAGCCCTGCAAGAGCTGTTTTCTCACCAGTGGCTCCTTGGCCTCCTGTCACCTGATAATATGTGACTTTGCATTAGGGATGGAGGTATGTGAGAGTGCTGCAGTTTTGGATTTATTGCCCTGTATTAGAAAGTATTAGTTTGTTTGCCCTTGATTTTTCCCAATTCTATCTACTGTCCTAATAATAATGATAATAATAGAAATAATTCTTCCTGCAAACTTTTCAAGAAAAAGTTGCAGTAGAACAGAGGGTCAAAATAAGATGTCCCAGTCACACCCAAGAGACCATCACATAGGAAGAGAGTGAGCTGGTAGGTTACCCTAATCTGTGACAGCAAGTAACAGTATGTCCAGCTATAGTTGGACACCCTGAAACAAAATACTGGTTGATTCTGGCCAACAACCACACACACTCCCAGTCTCTTGCTCACTCACCTCTCCTGTGGGATTGACAGAAAATAGAAGGAAGGCAAGAATTCTCTTATGGACTGAGATAATGACAGTTCACAGTTGCTTGGCAAGAAAGCTGCCATAAACCCAAACGTGTCCCCGTTACCCTTCTTTCATTGACCTTTTGTTGCTGAGCATGATGTCATATGTTATGGAATAACCCCTTTATCAGCCAGTGACAGCTGCCCTGGCTGTGTCCCCTCCCAGCCTCTTGTCCACCCTCAGCCTACTTGCTGGGAATAAGGATGGGAGAGAAAATGTTGACACATTGCACGCACTGTCCAGCAGTAGCCAAAACATCGGTGTTAACAACTGTGTTTTAGACACCAATGCAAAACATTATGGGGAAAGTTAAGTCTCTGCATCACATGCCTTAGATATGCACGTTCTGAGGTTTGTGTCTGATACGATGTTATCTGGACTGTCTTTTCCACAGAGAGATGATGTTCTTAATTTACCATATGTGAATCCATCATATCTTCAGAGAAGTCAGAAATATTGAAGGTAGTCAGTATCATATTAATACTGTGCTACAGAAACAAGTATAATTACTGTTCTACTTGAAGGGACTCTGTGGGAATATGGCTTGCTGTATGTGGAAGATTTGAATGCAATGCCTCACTTGTTAAACAATTTTTCCTAGAGTCAATGAAACAATTTTTGATAGAACAATATGCTCTGAATGTGTTTAAGGAAAATTAGAATGTGTTAGAGGGCAGATTTCAAATACATTATAATTGGAGAACTATTAAATAATTTACTTCAACTGTTCAGTCTTTTGAAATGTTTAGTTCAAAAACTGTTATGTTAGTTTAAAAATTATATTTAATTATTGTAATACCTCAGATAACATCACATCAGCTGGTATTTAGTGTGATAATTTGCTCCTACCTAGGCAGATTTTTTCAAGGTTGTCTTGATGTCTACTAATCAAATATTCTGAAAACTTACTTTCACAAAAATGCATCAAGATTTTAACTTTTCATCACAATTGAGACTAAAGCATATCTAAATGCGTTGGCCTGCCTGTTTTTTCTGACTAGCAATTTATTACTGTGGAACATTCATAGTCAGTCAATAACATAATTTTCTACATTTTTTTTTCTTTCTCATACTTAGGAATTCGCCCTTGGTGCTACAGCATAAGTCAATTACAGTGCCCAAAAGTAACTCTCTTTGGTTTCCCTGGGAAACTGAAATGGCAGAAAAAAATGTCAGAGTTCAGGAAAAGAAAACCAATCTAGCACACTTCTGTTTCATCTGTAGAGATTTTGTATTATCTTAACAGCAGTTATCAGAGAATCACATTGTGCTCTTTATCGGCTTTGTCTGAAAACTGTAAAAGCACAGATAAATCTGTTTCTAGTCAGGATGACATTAAATTGAAATGAAGGTAAAAACAAATTAATTTTTGTCTGTTATAGGTGTGTGGGTGCCAAATGCACCAAGACACTATCAGATTTATTTTTGTTAAATCTCATTAGTAAATTCCTTGCAGAGATCTAAGTCTTTTTCTGCCAATACTATGTTAAAACCACAGGAAATTGGTACTTATTGGAGTGTTTTTTGTGGAAAACCTGTCTATGCCATCTTTGAACAGAGTATGTCAAGATCCTTGCTACCTCTGGGAATAATGGTGAGGAACAAACTACAAAACTACAACTTCAGTACAGAAAATGACACAAATGACAAATTTCAAATCCAAAAATGGATTTGTGCTGTAAAGACCTCAGATTTTCCTGGAAAATGTACCAAGATAAGGTTGTTTCTAGCCTTGCATCTTCTGTGAGTCCCTTCATATCTGTGAGTTTCTTTTCTAGACTCCACAAAACCAGTAAGATATTGACAAATTGCATGGCTGAGAGATTGAAGGAATTCATAAAAGCGAATTCAGAATTAAAAAAGAAACCTTGACGAAAATGGTTTGTGAGCATAAATAAAATTATACTTTGCCTTAATCCTGACTAAGATGAAATATGAATTAAAACCCCCACTAAAGGTATAAGACTAAAAAAAAAAAAAAGTCAGGAGGACACTTTCACCCTTTTTGCAAAGATGCGAAGCAGACAGCCTGAACTGCCCAGCAAGGCTAGCAGGGTTCTGCATGTGCCCCTTCCCACCTCAGCACTGCCTGCACTCAGCAGCCACAATTTTGGAAGTTATGACTCCTTTAGGTGACTTCTCTTCTGATATGGTATGGGGTTTATAACTGCTTCTTTGGTCATATAACATGGCTGCATTTGATCCGTTATGTTTCCTAAAACACATCTAGGCCTGGGCTAAAGAATGCAGGAGTAGTACCTTGGCAAGGTAGAATGGGATGAAACTCTTACACACAGAATACACACTGAGTGTAAGAAAAAGTGAACAGGGACACTGGGTAAAGCCTCTCCTCAAGACGTGGTTAAAGCAACAATTCACGGTTCCTATAACAGCTTCTTATAAAAGGCATATTTAAACATTCTTCCTTGTGGTCCTGCCTGGAGAAAGCTCCTGGAAATAAATTATGATATTTTGTTTAAATCTGATGAGTGCCACAGTCAGGAAATCTGACTATGACAAGGCAGCTGTATGCTAGGTCTAGTCTAGTCTTTTTTTTTTTCTTGGTACTGAATATGTCTCCTGTTGTCTACAGGACTTATAAACCACGTTTTGTGTTTGCACAACACTGTCTGCACAGCATTTAAAAAATGGAAGACGCGTCCATTATTCCAGATCCTAAAGTAATATAAAAAATAACTAAACAAAGCAAATTAAGCAAAGTGATGACAAATTTGGCTAAGGAGCAATTCTGTTTCAAACAGAAGTCTAAAAGACTTTTAGGCCAGCTTCTCTACTTTCAGGAGTGATTTGCTTACTCTTTACATTAGAAAGGAGGAGAATAAGTTACTCTGCTCAGAACTTTTAGCTGTATTTAAGTTGTGTGGTTGGAAAAGATCCAGAAGATAATCCCATCTCCATCCTGCTGCCTTGCAATATTCACAACTGTCCCTACTGAATCTAGCTGACGTAATTGTTGAAAGGAAGGAGTAAGGCAAGCCTGGATGAATTATACATGCCTTTCCCCTCTGAGCTTATCCTCTGCTTTCTAAACTCAATCCACTACTCCATGTGTCTGAGTGAGAATGAAGTCTATAGCAGCATTTCCACTGCTGACATCCTCATAAATACTGAGATGTCCCAGCTGAGATGTGCTCACAAAGAAAGACAGACTGTCTGTGCAACAGTTTCATCAAAGGGCTAAAGACTTCTGTACAGTATGTGTCCACCAGTTAAGTCTTAACAGGAGTGAATATCAAATTTTGGCCCTTATGATAAGTATTTCCCATAGTTAGAGCAGAGCAGAATTAAAGGTATGCATGCTCTGGGTTTGTTTCTTTTGTTTGGAAAGGAAAAGGAATGAGATTTACTTTTCTTGTCAGTCTAAACCAAGGTTTATGGTAGCCTTGTATAAAAAAACCTTGGCATTCTCCAGTCTAAAAAATCAATTAATAAATAATACAACTTTTTATTGATAATTAGCACACTACGTATTAGGATTTCCCCCCTACCTATTAGGAAATGTAAAATCAGAGAAGTCTGTTGTTTTGTCCTGTAAACAAAGCAATGTAAGGACATATTTATGAATAAATCTTTACCTCTGTTGCAAATATTTTTTGCATGAACTTACCTGAGGTGTAAATATTTAATATTTCTTTTCTCTGCATTACTATTTATTTTTCTGTGTGGGAGTAAAGGCATCCTTCAATACTGTGGACCAGCTAAATAATGTATTACTTCGTCATGAAAAATGCCAGAGGAAAATAAATGAGAGGATATCTTACCTTTGGTCATCACAATGCCTGCAAGAGTTTTGTGGCGTGCATGCATGGAAGTGAAGTTGTCTGTCAGCTCCTGGAACTTCTGTGCAACCATTTGGTACACAGAGTCGGCAAAATCCTGAAAGACACAGTGAGAAAGAATTTTTTCACTTCTTTGATTGAGGAACCTGGGTATTTCTGCATATTAGTCACCTGCTGTCAAGTGCTGAGAGGTCTTTTTCAGAATTTGACATCACCCTCCTGAGCAAAGATAAAAGGAGTATCTCTGTTGACTACCAACATCACTCTCAGAAATGGCCAAATTAACTGAATTAAAGCTAGGGACCCCTATTGACCTGGATTAGTGGTAAAGGGAGAAGACTGCAAGGCTGACATTTTTTCAGCCTCCTGGATGTTGGTCCAGGATCAGTTCACAGCAAATTTGTTGGCCCTTAAAGCATTTTATTGTAATGAGATGAAGAGGGTGATGCATGTCCCACCAAACCACTTATTACCACGAGCCCACTTAAAATTTCCATTAGCCCACTGAAGCCTGAGAGCTGAGGCCTCACTTGTAGGTAAGGACCATCTAATTCTGCACTCAAGGTGAGTTTTTAATGACTCACAGCTACCGAGGAAAAACGATCTGCACAGGAATCAAAGGAAGGGGAACCTCTGCTTGCACAACCTGCCAAAGGTATTGCTAGCACAAGTTCACTGGTGTGCAGTAGTGCTGAGGGACTGGTCTGCCAGGTCTCTTCTGAGCATGACAGCTTTGTTGAAAGGTCAAATTTTCTCCTTAACTGGGCTCTAGAGTCTGTATGGTCTGAACCTTCAGGTCTGAGCGAGTCCAGTCACCAGGGAGAGCCTTTGGAAGTCAGTTACTGAAGGCAAGAAGGGTAAAGGGTCTAAAAAGTGAATTCTGCAGGCTGTGTATGGATGAATGTGAAGCTATACCATCCCTGGTGTTCCTGAGAACACTTGGACCATTTCCCTGCTGCAATACTTCGTATCTTTTCATTTACTTAATTGCTGCACTTTGTTTGGCACAGTCTTTCAAGCATACATTAGAGATAAATCAGAGGAATGTTCTTTGTGAACATGAGTTGTTAAAGTGCTTTGCAAGTCTGAACATAAAAAAATAAGATCCAAAGGGTTGGTTGGTTTTCTTTTTTTTGCTCTATGATTTCTTGTGGGGAAAACAAGCTGTACCTACAAATCCTTCTGGGAGCAGTTTCTGAGGACTGGAGCTTACTCTGGGTGCTAACAGGGGACCTACTGGCACCCTGTACTCTGGTTAACCCCAAGTGATTGTGCCTTTGCTAGGAAAAGTGGCTTGACCAAGCAATAATTACAGTTTTTCTCCCAGTGTTGGGCTAAGCCACCTGGGGGGAGGTCCTGGTAAAACAGGTCCCCTTGAATTCTCTTTAAGTGGGTTTGTGACACATGCAAAGGGGGGAAGAGCCTGATATTTAGCCTCCCTCACCCTGAAAGATCCACAGGCATGCAGAAATAAGGAAATGTATTTAATATCATATACATTTTTTTTTCTCCTGAAACTGTTAACAGTGCTGAAAACATGCTAGCGAAAACACAGTATTTTAAATTGGGAGAACATACAGCTATTTTTCAGAGGAAAGCAGATTCTAATTCACAAATATTATCAGTGACACTACTACCACTGAGAGTTTCTGCAGGCTGCACACCATATGTTTCTACAGTTTGTTGTAGAAAGTCAGCTTAATTTTTAAATGTTATGGCAAATAGAAAAAATCTAATTAAATAAAACACAACAACAATTATGCAACACCCTTTTCATAAAACCTGGAATAATTTTTCCATGTACAATCCTTGTAAGTGATTGCAATTTGCTCAAATACATAAAGGATAGGATTTCTTTGACAGAGTAATTTTTCTTTGTTTTGCTAAATGCAGCTTTCGGAGGTATTGCTCTGGGAACAAACCATTTTCCTGAGAAGACAGTTTAATATAACATGGAATAAAATACTCTGGCTTGTTGCAAAAGAAGGAAAGAGGCACATAAACCCTTTCTGGGAGATGCATACAAAATTATGTACTAGAATTAGATGAAAACTAAGAAAAATTACCAAGAACAGTTTGACAGTTCCTAAATGGAATTTCGCTTTGACTGCGTTTGTACCTCTTCTAATCTAATTGTCCACAGGCACTACGTGAGCAAGGTATTGCTCATACAGTGTTTCTAAAGGAAGATTTTTGGGTCAATTCTCGTTTGTCAAGCATCAAGGCACCCTTGTGATATAAATGCAATTATAGTCATTTTACAGATGAATGAGTGAAGGCACTAAAAGGGTGAGGGACTGGTCCAGGGGAATAGCACGGAGCTGGGCAGAGCCAGGTGTTCTGATTTCCTGATGCTCTGGCTAAGTGCTCAGTGCTGGAACAGTGCCTGTCTTTCATAATATGAAAGTTTGTTTCTAAACTTCTTTTCCCTACTGAAGAGTGACTTCATCCATAACGGAAAACTGAAGTGTATTTGAAGGACTGATAGAACTGGGTCCCATATGATGGACTGAAAATCTGATCAGCTTTATTTACACTAGAAAGAAAGAAAAAAAATAGAGTATCTCAGTAAAACTATCTACACCATCATTTAAAAAATGAATCAAACAAGAAATTTCATTTCCTGAAGTACTGCAGTCCAATCCATGCCTACATTTCCAGCATACCCTCCAAATCTGCATCCCAGGGCATTTTGCACTCATTAAGAGTTAATTAGCTCAGAGGCACATACAATTCCTAAAAGAATCATTTTAAAAATGCTAAATAGAACAAATAACTTTTAACTTTGGATTTAGAAATCCCCACAGTCAGAGCTTTCTTTACTTCATTTGGCAGTAGGTTCCAAAGCCAGAGAGCAAAGAGACTCACTAAAGGCAAAATAACGACATGACTTCAGATAACATTTAGGGCCGATAAGGAATTCAGCATTCACTGATCTCAAGGAGTAACCTGGGACATTAAAGAACAGCAAATCCATTAAATGTGAAGCCTCTTAGCTAAAATAAGTCAGGCGAGTATTTTTTGTCTTCAATCCGTTGCCTAAAAAGATGCCAGTGAAATTAATAGAAGCAAAGGAGTGGTATAAATGAATACATATAGGATGCAGGAAAAACAAACAGAAAGATGGCTAAGATGTCTAAAGTGTCTAATCTAGGAGTCATTTATGGCTATCATGTTGCTCCAAGTTTCCAAATGAATATCCCAAAGTACAATGGAAAGGAGGAAAAGGAACAGTCTGTTTTTGCAGATGGAGAAAAATACGAAGTCAAGAGATGTCTGGCTCAGCCCTGCAAGGGATTTGATACCCTGAGGATTGATGCATGCAACGTAGAATAATTGCAGGGCCTTGAATAATCCACCCTTGAAAGCTGGCCTGGTGGCAGAGCTGGGCATGGAGTTAGTTTCCTGACCTACATCCCTAAGTTATAAGATGTGGCCTCTCTAACACACACCAGAGCAGCTTTTTGGCCTGATCCATTCATATGCACTGAAGTCAGTGACAGCATTTCTGCCTATATAGTCTTTAGACTGGATTTCAATGTTTTTACACAGACAAAACTGGTTGCAAATGTATCTAATGCATACACTTCAGAACCCTAGATTTAATTCCAGAGATCTTCTTGCTTCACTATTAAACAATAATAATAAAATGCTAAAAGATACGTATCCAGATGATCATTCCTGAGAGGATATAAACCAGAAGAATCCAACTACTTATGGCCATTTTGAGCCTTGTTGAACTTTTGGAGTATAGGCTGGACTATGTTATCTGCCATCAGAAATAACTTAAAAAACATACACAAAAAGAACCATTCTTTTGTTATTCCCTATTATCAAAACAATGAATGACAGAAAAGTTGTGTTTGGTGATACCACATTTTTTACTGCTAGATATGAATGAAAATAAAAGTCTCCATCTGGAGTAAATACAAGAGCCAAATACGTCTTGGCAGCTTCTGCACGAATATCAGGTTATAGTTGGAAAAGGGAAAATTTCAGAAGATGGGCAAAAAAGAAGAGTAGAAGCTTTCCTTGTGAAAGAAAAATTCAGTGCAATTAATAGAGGTGGATGCAATTCCATCTATCACATAATGGCAGAGAAATGGCAGCTTGAGGCAGGGGAACAGGGCAGAAGAAAATAAAGATTCCAGTGGATGTATGCCCAACCCAAAGAAGTGTCAGACAAGGCCCAACTAGCAAGTTCCAAGAACACCCCTGCCCTGGCCAGGGAGGGTGAGCTCAGCCACACTGGCTTTGCTGGCATATTGTGAGGAAAAAATTTGACTCTGGGGGGAAAAAAAAATGACTTTCCAAGTATTGAGTTTCTTTCAAATCCCCTTCTTTGGTTTGCCTCTATCAAAATCTTAGCCTTCACAGGTCCTCACTTAGATTTTTTTCTGTATAAAGAGTAGTCATCTCACAGACTTTCTGAGATCAAAAATTTCCTCAGTCTTACTAATACAGTGAGTGCTATAAGGCAAATAAGTCCACTAGACCCATGTTGAGGGACAAATCTCAGTTCCACTCAAACCATGCACATTGCCTAAATGACTACTGTTAGTGGTGGTAGCCTGTTACTTGTTCAGTTGCCTGGCAGAAGAAAGGCAAAAGAAAAAACTTTTGCCTGTGAATAGCCTGAGATCCTGCAGTGATCTCACTTAGTGAGCTATATTTTAACATATACAAGGAGTCTGGAAAAATGAAAAATAGATGTCATTACTATTAAAACTGCACTGTGTTGTCTAAGGTATTCATCGTTCCTTGATTACCATATCAAATTACTTTTGTTATTCACTAAGGAAAATCAAACTTTAGATCATACCACTACAGAGCCAAAAACTTTTAGTCATTTCTCAGCACTAATATTTCAAATGGTATAAATAATTAAATGTGTTCAAGTTTGCAATGGGAGTCTTCAGGGTAAAACTGACATTCAACAGGAGTAGTAAGGATATTAAAATCAATAGATTATAAAGGAGAAAGCCTTTAGTAAACATTTTCTATTGAAATCCTATCTTAGGGTTTATAGGGTTGAAATATCAAAAAGGTTAGATTTGCATATGGATGGGAAGAAATATTCTGCTATACAGATATCAC